AGGGGGGGCCGTGCTGGTAGCCCCTCCCCTCTTCATTTTGGATCTCACTTTTTTTTGTCCAAGTCCTTTTTCCAAGGAATTTTTCCAAGTCAAAAGGGGGGGGGGGGGGCTACCAGCATGCTGGTAGCCCCCCCCCTTCATGTTAGATTTCACCTCACTTTCGTGAACCCAACATGTTTGGGTTCAATTTCTTGTCAAGTCCTTTTTTCGATAAGTCGCAAGTCAACATCGCTACAGTGGATCTGGACCGCCGGTTGGGTCGACTGGGTTACATCTAGACCTTGTTCTGATCATCGCGCATCAGGCAGGCAGCAGTCTCCAAGCGACGATCCGCGCGTCGGCAGGCGTCGCCGACGCGGTCCTTCATGAAATCGAGTCAGGTGACATGACGCCCGCGTTTAATTTTCCTTCCGCTCCTACTCTCCATGGTCAGCGTCGCCCCACCAGCAGCCGCCCCACCGGCCCCGGACAGCCCGCCCGACGTCGACCTCGAAGCCGACGCAGACGAGAACGACGTCGAAGACGACGCCGCACCAGGGACCGGTCTGTCCAATGCCGCGCCCCCCGCCAAGCTGACGAGACGCTGACTGCGCACCCACCTACAGGCGAGGCCAAGAAGAAGAAGAAGAAGAAGAAACCAAAAAAGAAAAAGCCAGAGCAGAGCGACCCCCCGCGCATCGGTCTCTCCAAGTTCTTCCCCGACGGCATCTACCCCGAGGGCGAGATCCAGCACTACAAGGACGAGTGCGTCGTCCGTCTCGCGTCCATTTCATTGTGCGTCGCTCATCCCGCCCCCTTTCGCGCAGCAACGCCTGGCGGATCACGTCCGAGGAGAAGCGCTACGACGAGAAGCGCCTCAACGAGGACCCCGAGACCACCTACCAGAGCATCCGCAAGGGCGCCGAGGTCCACCGCCTCGTGCGCAGGCATGCCCGAAAGCACATCCGCCCCGGCATGACCATGACCGAGATCGTCGAGAACATCGAGGCCGGCACGCGCGCGCTTGCCGAGGGCGATGGCCTCGAAGCCGGCGTCGGCTTCCCCACCGGCGTCAACCTCAACAACTGCGCTGCCCACTACACCCCCAACGCGGGCGACACCACCGGTGCGCCGTCTCGTTTCCTGTTTGCGGTTAGTTGGCGCTGTGCTGAGCCGCGTAGTATTGCAGATGGGTGATGTGCTCAAGGTCGACATTGGCGTGCACATCAAGGGCCGCATCCTCGACTCGGCATTCACCCTGTCGTGGGACCCCAATTACGACAACCTCATCGAAGCGGTCAAGGCCGCAACGGACACTGGTATCCGCGTAAGCAGCAACTGCTCCGCACACACCGCCTCTTACATCTCCACAGGAAGCGGGGATCGATGTCCGATTAGGTGAGCTCGGCGGCTTGATTCAGGAGACGATGGAGTCGTACGAGGTCGAGATCGGCGGAAAGGTCTATCCGGGTACGTTATTAATTGCGCCTATCCACGCCTTCTGCCGACGCCTGTATAGTAAAACCGATAGAAAATCTGTCGGGGCACACGATCACGCCGTACCAAATACACGGCGGCTCAACCGGGAAATCGGTCCCGCTCGTCAAGACCGCCGACCAGACGAAAATGGAGGAGGGCGACTACTTTGCGATCGAGACCTTTGGCTCGACGGGGCGCGGGCGGATAGTCGAGAATGTATGTTACTGTGCGCTTCCATTCCGCGTTTACTTAAAAATATCAGGGCGATTGCTCACATTACGCGAGAATCTACAACGCGCCCAATGTACCGTTACGGTACGTATGGTCGTCTGCATTTCGCCCGTCCGACGGTGACACCAACCACGCACACCCCCTAGACTCACGTCCGCCAAATCGCTACTAAAGACGATCAACAAAAACTTTGGCACGCTGCCGTTTTGCCGGCGGTACCTGGACCGCCTCGGGGAGAGCAAATACCTGCTTGCTGTGCGCCCGTTTATTTCATTTGCGTTGGCGACTCATCAGCATTTGTTTTTTCAGCTGAATCACCTTGTTGCACAAGGGATCGTGTCCGACTATCCGCCGTTGTACGATCAGGTGAGCAGTTACGCGGTGGGTTCTAGTTTGTCTGCTGAGGGAATGTGTGCTAGATCGGGAGCAAGACGGCACAGTTTGAGCACACGATCCTGCTGCGGCCGACGTGTAAGGAGGTGGTGAGTCGGGGGGAGGACTATTAGCGCATTTTTGTTGTAGTAGGGGCCGGGCGGGCCGACGGGACAATATGATCCCTTAGTTTTGCCCGCACAAACGCGTATGAAACCATTAGTTGATGTCTCTCCTCCGGAGCTTGTAGCCCCACTCTCTCTCCTTGCACTGGACCACCATGGCCATTGCCCTGCCCTGGCCCTTTGCCGCCGCCCCCACTGAGCCCCCAGACCCGCCAGCGGACCAGAAGCCCGCGCTCCACCACTACGCCCGCCCCGGCATCGCCCCGCCCTCCGCCCGCATCGACCCAAACCTCAAGGTCGCAGAGCGACGCCCCATACGTCTGTGGCATCTCTGGAAGTATGGCCTCGTCGTCGTCTCCAAAGGTGTGTCTCTGTGCAGTGGAGCGAACTCTCGTAACAAACCCCCGATGATGCAGCAACCGAAATGACGGGCGCAGTCATCTCGCACAACATCTGGGGCCCGCGCCGCAAGTCGTGGGGCATCGAGATGACTCTCATCACCAGCTTCATGCGCGGCGCAGGCCGCCACAGCGCCCTCGTCGACATCGTGCGTCCACCATGAAATATTGTGAAGTGATATTTATCTAACGGCTGCAGGCGACGATCCGCATGGCCATGAGCCTCAGCGGGCTGATACCCCTCCCGTCGGACGCGCTGGTCACGCCCGTGACGTTCCGCGTGCGCCGCCGCAAGCTGCGCGGCATCCTCGCCGACCTCGACGCCGCCGAGACGGGCTCCCGCGAGCTCTCAGGCGAGTGGGTCGTCGGCCGTCGTACCTGGCAGCGCCTCCAGGCCGAGTGGAAGTCCTCGCAGCAGCAGCGCACCACCACCGCCACGCCAGCGCCCGCGAAGAAGAAGGAGCGCGTCGTGCTCTACATCCACGGCGGCGCGTACTACCTCTCCAGCGCTGCCGGCCAGCGTCTGATATCGATACCCTTGTCCAAGTATACCGATGCGCGCGTATTCGGTACGTCTCTGCTTCTCGTGCGCCGACTGACAACGCTAAATGTGGCATGACAGCGCTCGATTATCGGCTCGCGCCCGAGACGCGCTTCCCCGGCCCGCTGCACGATGCCGTGTGTGCGTATCTGCGGCTCGTGGACGACCTGCATATCCCGGCGGAGAATATTATCGTGTGCGGCGACAGTGCGGGCGGCGGGCTGTCGCTCGCGCTGCTTATGTATCTGCGGGACAACCAGTACCCGATGCCCTCCGCCGCCATCCTCATGTCGCCCTGGGTCGGTGAGTACTTCCGTGAGTCTTTCCGCGTATGTGTGCTCACCTATATGCATAGATCTGACTATGAGCTGCGAGTCCTGGGACTCCAACGCGCCGTTCGACGTCGTGCCCATCCCAACCGCGACGGACCACATGAACCCCATCGCGCTCTACCTCGGGGACCAGGTCGAGCAGTACCTCACGCACCCGTACGCGAGCCCGCTCTTCGGCGACTTTTCGGGCCTCCCGCCGCTGCTCATCCAGGCGGGCGACGCCGAGGTCCTGCGCGACGAGATCGCGCTCCTCGCGCACAAGGCGACGCTCGCGGGCGTCGAGGTGCGCCACGAGCTCTACGAGGACGCGGTGCACATCTTCCAGACGTACCCGTTCCTCGACTCGGCGCACCGCGCGTTCCTCTCCATGCACAACTTTGTGCGCACGATCCTGCCGCACCTGCAGAGCACCGCGCCGCCGCGCGCGCTCGGTGCCGAGGCGGAGGAGGGCCTCGAGCTCGAGATTGATTCCGCGCAGGCGACGGTCGTGCGCGGGGACGGCGTCGCGAGCGAGACGGTCAAGGAGGACCTCGAGGACGAGGCGCGCACGGAGAGCGACCCCGAGGAGGAGGAAGAGGAGAGCGGCGAGGCGGAGAAGACGTATTACCCCAGCTGGGGCCCGTCGCGCCTCGCGCTGGCGTCGCCACCCACCACCGACGACGAGGAGGACGAGGAGGAGGACGAGGAAGAGGCGCCGCCGCCACCGCCCGTCGAGCCCGCGCCAACGTCCACGCTGCGCCGCATTCGCTCCGCCGTCTCCGTCATCATCCCCGAGACCATCACGCGCCCGCCGCTCAAGCGCCACCGCTCGCAGCACTACCATCGCCGGACGAGCTCGCGCGAGCAGGTCCCGACGCTCTCGACATTCACCATGATGTCCCCGCCGCCCTCTCCTTCTGTGCGCCGCAACTCGATCGCGAGCCACCCCGACATTACGAAACTAGTAGAGAATTGGACTCATTCTGGGCCCGCTAATGAGACGCTCGTTTATAAACCGCTGTCCTATCCGAGACCGCCATGAGCGCGGCGGTATACTTATTTATTTGTTGTGCTTGGACAGCCCTGTATCGGTAGTATGTATGTAGTGTAGCCCACGATGGGGAGTAATATTAATCAACGTATGCCCGCCTGTATCTCGAGGCTGTTAGTGTGTTTTGTAAGGAAGGAAAGTGGATGCGTGACGTCACGCGCGGCTTTGGCGCGGTCCTACCGCGTTTGATATCCCCTTAGAGCCATGGATCAGAATATCGAGCCCAAAACAGTAATCTTGGAAGTTGGAATGGTTCGCGAGCTGGAGAAGCCTCATGCGCGATGGACTCATAAAAATTGTTTTATCTACTCATCCTCGATGCGTCGAGACTGGTCTCTGGAACAACAATGTCAAAGTCTGGGCAGCGGACGCAAATTGTCAATGCCAGCCGTACATGGAATGAGTCTCACCGCTCAGGGAAAAAATCGGCATTGCACCGCCACATTTTCTCCGGCACTCCCAGTCGTCCTCGCCAGTCCTCACCATTTAGTACCGCATTCCATATGTTATCGTGCCTCCATGGGGTAGTGGTACTGACCCATCGACCTGAGCTTTCGCTCATTAGATGTGGTCGGCGGTTCGAATCCGCCTGGGGGTTCGATTCCCCCCTGGAGGCACCGGGTCGTGCGTATTCGGCCGTCTTCGGAACTCGGGGTCTGGCCCCCGAGGCAGGCCTTAGGCCTTAGCCCATAGCACTGGGAATCTCGCGCCAACGGGTCAGAGGGCGCTTTATCGGTCGGCGCGTGTGTCTTGATATACACCTCCCCACCGGCACACCTTTTTTGGCGTTTTGAATCTTGGTTTTTTTGGAGAATCCAAATATGCTTGCAGGTTTACGAAGCCACACGGAGATTACTATCTTTATATTTTAGTAGGAAACTAGGCCCGCTATGTAATGAAACCTTCGTTCTGCTATCCGGGACCACCACATGAGGCGGGGGTATATTTGTTGTGCATGTACAGCTCTGTATCATGTATGTAGCTAGACTGGTAACCAATCTGTCTACAGGAAAGTGTCGGTAGAGCGTTAGGCCGGAATCATACTCAACGTGAGCCCGCCTGTATCTCGAGGCTGTTTTTGTAGATCTCGAGCTCCTCGATGACGTTCATCAGCGCGTTGCACTCCCAGTTGCCGTACAGAAAGCCTTCGTAGAGCATCGTGGTGCCCAGCCACGCGATGAAGACGGTGAAGAGAATGAAGATGGGGTTGATCCACGCGTGCGTCAGCCACGACGAGCCGACGACCACGCCGACGAGGATGACGATGCAGAGCGCGAAGAGCAGGAGCTCCTTCCGCGCGCGTTGCCGGGAGAAGCGGTAGCACGCCGCGAGCGCCTGCATCGCCGTCGACAGCGACTCGGCGGACAGCTCCGACGTTTCCGGCGACTCGCCCACGCTGGACCACACGTTATGCGGATCCGTCAGGTCTGCGGGGACGCGGTCCCCCGTCTGAATCTCCAGCGTCGCCTCGAGCGCGAAGTGGTCCGAGAACGAGAACGCCCGTCCCGGCACCGTCTCCGTCATCAGCACGTTGCACTCGGTGCATTTGAGCACGGGCAGCGGGTCGTCTGGGCGCGTGAGGGGCCGTACAGGCTGCCGGTACAGGACGTAGTCGAGCCGCTTGCCGAGGAACTTGCGCGCATAGGGTCCGATGGGCTTACCCGCCGAGTATGAGTTTAGCGGCGAGTCGGCGGTCACACCGAATTGGGTGATGGCATCCTGAGCAGACGGGGAGGATATGGTGGGGGCCGTGGGGTGTGCGACCGCCCACGAGTCGGAGAGCGCGGCGTATTCGCGGATGAGTGCCATCGGGAGCGTGCTCGGGATGCTGTTAAAGTCGCCCGCCTGCAGGATGGTCTTAGCAGAAGAATGCGACGTGTCTGGAACATACAGCAATGACATAACGGCCTAGCTCTGCAGCCTGGCGCGCCAGTTTCGAGAATTCCCAGGCATTGACGAGTCGGTGCGCTCTGTTATACTCGGGCCCGTCCTCCCCACCTTTGGCGTACAGCTGAAACGACAGTCAGCTTCAAGTCGGGTCCAAAAACGATCTCTTACATGCGTATTGAACACTTGAACTTGACCGAGGATGGGGTGTGATATTATTATGCTGACGGCTGCCTTGCCGACAAACCAGTCGCCTCCTGCGACATCGATGGGTGCGCCGTTTAGTGAATATGGGTGGACTGAAGTGCCGATGATAGGGAACCGGGAGAACAAGGCTAAGCCAGATCCAAGCGCGCCGCTAACACGCTGTTCAGTCGTTCCTTCTTTCCCACCACAGAACCGAGGCGCACCTGTAGAAGAATTTCGAGTAAGGAAGGCGCTTCACTACGCTGTCCCGGACGTGTTCGTAGTCTGCAAAGACCCATATTTCCTGGAGAGCGATGATATCATGGTCGAACTTTGCTAGTTCGTTGGCAATTCCTCGTATGCGCTCCGTGCGGTTCTTTGCGACATATTTGAGACCCCTGCAGTTTTTGAATGGGATGGAATGAGGGTAGAGAAGGAGGTTGGTTTACTGACCAGCAGTTTAAGCTCAGGACTCGAAGTTGCTCAGCCATTTCACGGAGTGTGTCAACTCCGGATTGCTGGGAACACCACCGAAACGCTGAATTACAAGGTCAAAATGTACAGTCGACGATTATACAGCGTATAGTTTTGGGCTGGAGCGCGCGCGAATTTATTGGATGGTGGGCGTGGTCACAAGCTCCTAAATTGTACAGCCACAGTTGCGGCTCTCATTCGAACCGCCATGTCCACCGTACCTCTTACTCCTGCCGAGTGCGTCCTCCCTCCTCATTCCACTCAATTTCCGTCCCTTATACCTCTCTAGTATCGAAATCGCCACTCGAGCAGCAGACAACTTCACCCGCATTTATTACACCGCCTATGACTCGGCGACGCGCCTCAGCGAGCTGCCCAAGCTCTACCGCCCGACGTCCGCCCTGACCTGGAACGGGACACCGTTCCAAGGCTCTGACGGCCTCCTCTCACTTGTCCAAAACATGCCCCCAACCAAGCACGACATCCAATCCTTCGACTGCCATCCCATACCAGGTTCATCCACCTCCCCGTCGATCCCCGGACTGTCCTGACTGACCGCGCTCCAGGCACCCAGCCGCCGTCGCTCCTGATTGTCGTCTCCGGGAGCGTCACTCATGGCTTTGGCCCGTCGGGCAACCCCTCGGCGACCTCGACCAGAAACAAGGAGGGCCACCCGCGCGTCTTCTCCCAGACGTTTATGCTCGTGCCGGACTCCGCGGCACCGGCGCCCTCGAAGGTCGGAGAGCTCGCGAAATACTACATCAGCGCCGACGCGCTTCGCTTTGTGGGCTGAAGATATAAAGTAACTTTCGCATTGTCGCACTTGAGAGACATGACTCATTCGCGTTTCAGATATTGTCCCCATCCCTCCCCATCCTCACCGGAAACGAAGCAGCGTCGCGAACAATTCCCGGCTTAAAATGCCGGATGTAAATGCAGAGCTCCAGAGTTCCAACACCCTTTCGTCGTGTATTTAGCACTAGCTATACGGGAACTACATAATGATTATACGATACACCACACTATACATTGGGCTTGCAAACCGAATATGTATGTACTATGCACGGGATTGTCCTCCATCTACCTTGATCCAGGTGAAAAGCCGTAAGTCTCAAACCAAGAAGGCGTTAGACAACTGAGATTTGCATGAACCTAAAAAAGCCACCACGAAGGCGGAAAGGAAAGGAAAAAATTGTGGGAAGCATGGGTCATAAGGCAAACGCCCTCGCCAGTACTTCCACGAAAGACGACGCCACATCCCGTCGACATATCACAGGGGGAACTCCTCAAGAATCCCCAGCCGCGTCGTAGCACTCTCGAGGCCAAAAGGCCACCCCCTCCATGAAACCACCAGCGCAACTTCCCTCGGCTCTTCCTCCGACGCTCACCTCCGGCCATGACAGCCAGAAGTTCACTACCTCTCCCCGCCATAGGGCCCGTCATCCAGTACTGCCCTGTCCATTTCTGAACGCGCCAAGAAAACCACATACACTGCGGTGTCTCCCAGGCATGAAGGGCACTCACTTTCAACGCCAGCTTTTCGCCGAAGCGTACATAGAGCAACTCGGCAGCCCCGAAACCTCCTCGCGAATCCATGCTCTATCTTTTTGTTCGCACTTGTGACCGCGCGCGATCCAGGCCTATGTGAGCAAAGGATGCCTCACTAACAGGCGCCCGAGCCTTCTTCCAACATCTGCCCTAAACCAAGCCAGGGGCCACAATCCACAGCCGTTGACACTACGCAAAGTCTGTTGAACGCGAGAACGAATCTCTATTGCAACGTCCCGTGGGAATCACAATTTCAACGACAGGTAGGTGCAACTGCAGACTGGGTCTTCGCAGAGGCCGGTCATCTGAAGAAACAAGTACAACGGATCATGCCCGATGGATCATTGGACATCAATTGCCCGCACAGGGGACAAGAAGGGCGTTGGAACAGGTCAAAGTAGAGAAGAGCAGAGACATGGCCGCAAAAAGGCCCGAAAAGCTGGGTCTTCGCAGCTCATAATGAATAACAAAGTTGGCAGCATCAATGAGTCTTCCACATCAGCAACTGGGAGGGCAAAAACGACCAGCAAGTATGGACTTCGTTCGCAAGCAGGCTGTCAAAGCATTGCGACAGGAAGAGAAAACCGAGGTATAGCTGGCCAGGAGTCGAAACATGGTCGGCCGTCCTGTGTTGGAAGGACCGAAAATAGGGGGCGAACGAAACGACCAGGGTAAAGAAGAACCATATGAGTATATCGCTGAAAGGGAACGGCGCCGTCCCAAAGCCTTGCTGTTGCCTCAGCAATTTCACAGAAACCGTGCAATGGCCAGTGATCAGGAACCAATGCTCTCTTGTCCGTGCCTTTTGAGTTCAGAACACAGACTTCCACCCCAGACCTTCGGCCACCCGTGCTCGCGAAGCCATGTGAATCTCGATGCGCTCGCCGACGCTTCTGGGCCTCTCCTCCGAGCCGCCTGCATGCAAAGAAAGCAGCGGACAAACTCAAAGTGACCCACGGCGCTCGGAATTCGACAGAAACGGCACCGGGATTTGAACGTTCTTCCGCTGGAGGGCAGTCAAAGTCCAGGGGAAAAGCCAAAGGCTCAAGCCACCAGTGTCCTGTGCGACATGCTTTTGTTGTTCAAAGAACAAACAGACGTCGAGACGGAGCCAGAAGGCAGAATGGGACGAACGGACCGGTCGCCCGGTATGAAAGAATCAGGCACACACGAGCGTAAGTGGGCAAAAATGACCTGATAGGGTCTGTGCGTGGCCCACTCGGCGTGAACTGTCCCTCGAATCCCAGATTGTGTGTAATGCGCTCAATCTCCAGCATGCATACCCAAAGTCCCGCGACACGTCTCTAGTGCCCGTTGCGTGATCCAAAACCGGGTAGATCCCATGCATTTCCGGCATCGCCTTCCCTTCCACCGCTAGCAAAAATCAACTACAACGGAAAGCATACACGGAAAGACCCATTTCCCCAGCGAAGGTACATGGAATCTAAAAGTGCCTCAGCTTTCTGTGCGTATTGCAGTTGGAATCGCGCGTAGGTCGGGGTC